CATGAGCAGGCGGCCCACACGCCCTGAGCGCCGACGTGCACCTCCGCCTGGCCGCAGCACGACCGTCGGGCCTCGGTCGGCCTCCTCAGCAGCGGGATCCACGATCGAGGGTGTCACATAGCCCTAGAGCGATGGCTCGTGTACGAGTCCGATTAGGACGTTTGACCTCGCATACTCCCTATGCTACAGCGTACGAGAAACGCCCTCGGCTGGGCCAATTCTGCGATTGCATTTGATTAGCTTTTGCATGTGGTTCGGTAGCTCCGTGGGGATAAAAGTTTGTGCCTTGGGAGTTATCACCAGGGAGATTAGTGAAGAATGCTTCTACAGGTCTCAGTTTCCATGTTCCATTTTTTCCAGCACGGATAACCCTTATCATATACTTCACCCAAATTTGCCTCCGGGTCAATCTGCATCTCCCGGAATTCCTTTGTCTTTTGTTGCCTATCCTGATTTTTTATCCCCTCCAGATTTTCTTTTAGCTTTTTCCCTGCCTGACTTATTTTTTCCGCACATCGTTTCTGCAGTTTCAGCTTCGGCCTGTGGAACGGAGAAGGTTTATTTCCTTTCGACAGTGCACCTCATTCTGCCAATCACCAAGACTTGGGGTGCGGCAAGCCTCATTGAGTGAAATAGGTGTTGATGGAACAAGTTCCCAGTTTCATGGGAAACCCATCGGCTTGCCCAGCACGACGAGTTTGACATCCCAATGAAAACACTAGTTGGTTAGATATCGCCATGCTGCCTCCCAACACCTCCCTACTTGTATGGGCATCACGCACACCAGCAAGCAATGTTCTAGCATTGTCATCCGTCTGTGGACGAGTGGCTACAATAGCTGCAGACTGGAGAAAGTGTCGTTTCTGTTCCAGGTCGGATCTCGCCACCAGGAAATCGTGCACATGTAATCAATCATCTGTGCAAATTGTGTCACTGAAGAGCCCAATGCAATGTTGGCATGATGCACTTGCATTGGGCCCAGGATAAATATTCCGGGTCCCCTTTCTTCAGTGGTGGTTCTCGGTTCCATCCATCCAGTATATATGTGGTTTGAACTTTTAAGAGTAATAACTTACCGGAAAATTTGTGTCCAATACTATCCATTACAGTCACCCCGCACTGCCACACCGGTAGTGGTTTATCTGCTGCCACCCCCCCCCCAAGAAAAAAAAAACACTACTGATCTGTGCACCACCCTGCCACACCCGTAGAGCACATTGGAGTCCCATTTCTCTGAATCAAAGGCTAGTAGTGCGCAGATCGGAGTCTCCATTTCATAAGGTGGCAAACAAACCTTCTTCTGACATGAGTTTGAATCCAGATGCCGTGCACCGGTAGCGGTTTATCTGCTGAACACTCCCCCTTTCTCTGGATCAAAGGGTAGCAGTGCGCAGATCGGAGTCGCCATTTCATAACCAAACAAACCTTCTTCTGACGTGAGCTCGAATCCAGATTCCGTGCACTGTTAGCGGTTTATCTGTTGGCCACTCCCATCGGAGTTGCCATTTCATAACCAAATAAACCTTCGTCCGACCTGAGTTCGAATCCAGATGCCGGGCACCGCTACGGGCTTATCTGCTGGCCACTCCCATTTCTCTGAATCAAGGGTGGTAGTGTGTAGATCGGAGTCGCCATTTCATAACCACACAAACCTTCTTCTTCATTCCCAAGTACGCTCATCCTAAGGAGGTCGCCTTTTTGTGTCTCACAGTCTGCCTGGTCATTTCTAATTAATTTAGCCCATGACCTGGGCTACCAACCGGGCTGCCGTGGTCACCTTGGATGCCCGGGCGGCCCGGCCCGGCAAGGGCCATGGAAGGTCCCAGTGATTGCAGGAAAGTTGTTCTTTGCTCTACAGGAGGCCATTGAAGGTCCCAGTGCTTGGGACATTTCGTTTTACAGTCAGCAACTTCAGTTCTATTGGGGGGCTGCAGGGTCATTCATTTACCCCTGGAAGGTTGCAGAATCTGTGTCGTTGAGGCAGCATTGCTGTTCATTTTTCAAGATTGTCCTTCGCAAAGCTTCGTGTTGGACGGGGGGGGGGGAAAGCTTCGCGTTAGACGGGGGGGGGGGAAAAGCTTCGCGTTGGACGGGGAAAAAAAAAAAAAAAAAAAAGCTTCGTGTTGGACGGTGCTGTTGTCCCCTGGAAGCAGTCGGGTCAGAAACCTGTCTTTCTTTCCTCGTAAGGGGACTGTTCTGCCTGCTGCTTCACTAGAACAGCAACTTCTGTGCATGAGCAAATATGGAAATTTTCCGGCTTGAGGAGCGCTTCCATCACAGTCCTATCTCCCCAAGATTTTGCACGCCATGACCACAAGGCAACTGTCTTTTCCGTGCGCAGAACTTCTGGCTACACCCATCAGCCAAACACATAGAGTATAAACTGCTATGCATAGTCTTCTTTTGCCGCAGTTGTCTTGTCCAACTTCTTTCCGCCTTTTCTCTCCGCTATCTGTCACAACTTTGCAGGCAGTGTAGTCTGGAGTCGTACTGTTCAGGCCCCTCCCTTCCCCCCCACCTCCTCCTGTCCTCCTTTCCTCCTCTAATCCTCCTCTCCTCCGTCATCGTGCTCAGCATGACCAATGGACCTTCACAGTTCCTATGCCAATGTCTGCTCTTCTACTTCCTTCACCCGTTCTCCTCCTGTCCTCTTTCTGTCCTCTTCCTTCTTGTTCACTCCCTCTCCTCCTCTTCCTCCTCTCCTCCTCTCCTCCTCTCTTCTCCTCCTCCTCTTCCTCCTCTCCTCCTCTCCTCCTCCTCTTCCTCCTCTTCCTCCTCTTCCTCTTGTCCTCGTCTCCTCCTTCCCCCCCTCCTCCTCCTCTCTCCGTCTCCCCCCCCTTCCCTCCTCCCCYCCCYCGCCCCYTCTCCTCCTCATCTCTTCTTCTCCTCCTTCCCCTCTTCCTGCTCTTCCTCCCTTTTCTCCTTCTCGCCCCCTCCTCTCTTCTTCTCCTCCTACCCTCCCYCCCYCCCCCCCCCTCCTCCTCCCCCTCCTCCTCCTCCTCTTCTTGGGAGTGCAAGCGGATCAGACCAAGGGCATCTTTACTCAAAAAATTCATCATCCTCATCATCCTTATTTGGGTTTCATATTGCGCTTGACTGCTGCATGATTGATGCTATGGAGGAGGAGATTGGGGGTCAACCATTGGAAACACCCAAGCCACCTGTTGCACTGTTGCTGATCCACTTTGCTGTGATGCTTTGGTGGTGGATCAGATCGACAGCTCCGATCCCCTTATAGCTTTTACCGCACTGGCATGAAATAGGGCAGGATGCACCCATTCAGCTTCTCTTCACAAGCATGGGGAGAGGGTTCACACAGAGGGCAGGTAGGTAGCCTCGTTTGCTGTAAACAAATTGTTAGTTGAATAAAAAACGTGGCAGTTTCTTTTTCAGTCGATGAGAATTACATTTTCATCATTTTCAAGATCACCCTCACCCTCACGGTCACCAGCATCATCGTCCTCATCATCATCTCCCTCCGTCTCCAGTTGTCTACCAAAAGGACTGAAATCTTCTCTACCATCCCATGTGAACTGAACTTTCGCCTCCGTGGAGATCCCTGACACAATGTTATCACCCCCTCCTCTTTCCTTCCTCCTGGCTTTCCTTGGCCTTTTGTTAACCTCTTCCTCTTCGATGAAATCCAACGCCGCCAAGCCCTCATCGACGTCTGCCCATACGTTCTCTCCTCTCTCTTTTCTCTCCCTTTCCTCCTGCAACTCTGCCATTAATTTCAAGACCTGCACCACAATCACACGATCGCCAGTATTCCAACACAATGTCAGTCCTTTTCCGCATCTCAACAAAACCAACCGAGTTGAAAAAGAGCAAATCAACTGAGAAGAGAGCATGCCAAAAGTGTTTGTTTGTTTGTTTGTTTGTTTTTTTTTTTTTTTTTTTTTTTTTAAGCCATAAGTGTAGGGTTCCCAGCTAAGGTTTAAGCCACAATGTGAGTCCTTTCGGGGCTCGGAGGCCGAAGCAAAATGGCTGGCGTCACCAGCCAAAAGGAGGCCTGCACCGGGTTAATTTCCGTTCAAGCGCAGCGCTTTTCCAGCCCCAGAGAAAAGTCCCCCCTCGGACGTACTGCTGGTTTAAACCATCACCGTCTCTAAACCTAGTTCTTTTGCCGAACCGTAGTGTACAACTCCCCATGGACTTTCTGAACCTCAGCCCTCGGGCAGCAAACTTCTTCAGCACCAAATGCAGGGTTTCTCATTACATCTGTGCTCTTAAACCGCCAGTGGACGGCCCCAGCCTTGCAAGATTTCTTCAGCACCTACTACTAAAATTTTGGCGGATCGGGACTACCGGACCACAGTGGCTGGCGGCGCCAGCCAAAAAAGAAAAGAAGTGTGCCGCTGGCAGTTCGCCGAAGCTTGGCGCACAGTGCCACACCGCCAGGCCCAGCTGTTCTGGTGGTTTAAACCACATGTCTGTTTCACAGCTATTTTGTTCCAACACATCGACTAAGTGCTCATTAACAGACCTGAGTTCAAACCTGATGGAAAGAGCTGAATGAAATAAACTCTGATGAAATACCTTGGGCAAGTCGATGACAATACCTCAAGCCCGCCGCCCCCCGGAAAAAAAAAAAAAAAAAAAAAAAAAAAGCACAAACGGTTTAGCGAAAGGAAGAACAACAAGGGTTGGAGGAAACGTGCTCGACGCACATGCCATTTTGATTGCTGCGGGGCAAGCATACTACCAGCAGGGAGTCAGAAGTGCTATATCCTCTTCTCCCTCTCTGCCTACGGCTTACCAGGCAGCTCTGTTTGACGATATATATAAAGCAAGTTTTTGTTTCTTAGATTTTTATAATATTTTGTACCCTAAATCCTGGACATAATTGCAGCTTTGTGATAAGCTAACTCAATAAAGCCGGGATAGCTCAGTAGGTTAGAGCAGAGGACTGAAAATCCTCGTGTCACCAGTTCATTGGACTTGACGAGTACATTGCCAAATTACAAAAGGTTGTTGGCCGGGCATTCTCGATCTACTTCTTTCTCGTCTCTTTCTCAGAAGTTGAACAGCTGGCGTTCTGCAATCCTTGCACATTGTCAATCCAACGCAGGCTCGTTCTCCAATCATATGAGTCAGCCATGTTCACTTTGTTCTATACATGCCTCCTTGCGCCATCTTCAACAACACTTTGCCATTGTCCCTGTGGACAAAAGATCGCACAATTTGGCAATTTGCTGCAAGAATTGGTATCTGTTTCGTCTTTCCACCCATTTGGACAGTCCCACTTATACTCGTCCTGATGAATCCGTTGCTGATGTCCTTGACCGCCATGCAATATGGAATCACCATTGGGGCTACACCCATACTGATACCCTACCTTACCTTTACTACGTGCTGAAAGCTCACAAATCTCCTCCAGCTCTTCGTAGAGCATTCTTGGAGTTGCAACGCATAACAGTGTTGTTCCCCCACATGCTAGCCCTCATCCAACAATTCACATATTCATGAACGGCCTCCTCACAAACAATTGGCTAGCACAACGACTAATTCGTTGTATCTCAGCGCTGCTTTGCAAGGAGTGATCTCTACTCTTCGTGAGAAGATACTGAGCTCTATCAACAGGTTGGTGTTCGATGGTGTTGGATCGTTCAGAGTGCTAAAAACAATCCATCGTCTCTTTGTGGCATCTTTCCTCGCACTGTTGATTTTACCACAATGTACACCAACCTCCCTCATGACCGCATTCTGAATAATGTGGCAAAAGTTGTTGATGAAGCCCATGTTTATGCCCTTCGGCATACTCGCACGCATTCGTGCTGCAGTGACCTCGTTGTGGCCAATGGACAACCAATTCAGGCCCGGACACCCTTTCCGTTTCTTAGATTCTCCAACATTTTCGCTTTGTTCTACAAAACACTTTTCTGTACGCTAGAGATGACACACTTAGGAAGCAAATTATGGGTATCCCAATGGGAACAAATGCTGGCTCAGAAATTTCTAATCTGACACTGAATTGGGATGAAGCACACTTTGTTGATGACATTCGTCAACACGATCTTCAAGCCGCTCAGTGATACGCCTTCATTTATTGCCTCATTGATGATGTTCTTTCATGGGGGCAATTACCTCCTCCTCCGGAGCACTATGGGCTTGAGTTGAAGGAAACTACCGCGACAGATGGCTTGTGTACCTTTTTAGGTATGCATCTACGGGTCCGTCCTGAGGGCTCTCTTCGCAAGAGCGTGTTTGATAAAACGGTTGCTTGGTATTTCCCTGTCATTCGTTATCCAAGTGCTACCTCCAACATCCCTTCCCATCAATCGATGGGTGTGTTCACTGGACAATTGACCAGATTCGACCGGCAACATGCGCTCCTGCTAGCGTCGCTATCCTACGCATATGACACGTCTCTCTCAGTGGTTTCGGCGCATGCTGCGATGGTCCCTGTATCAGCCACTGTCTTCTTTGCCCCCGCGTCGCTCTTGTCGTGCTCCTGCTTGCTCATCTGTTGCTACTGCAGTTTCCACTGCTGCGGTTTTCACTGCTGCAGTTTCGGCTACTGCAGCTTGGACTGCTCCAGTTTCCACTGCTGCAGTTTCTACAGCTCCGGTTTTCACTCCAGCAGTTTCCATTGCTGCAGTAATTTCTGATGTCGCAGTTTCCACTGGTGCGGTTTCCACCGCTCCAGCTTTCACTCGGCCAGTTTCTGCTACTGCAGTTTCCACTATTGCAGCTCTCACTACAGCTTCATTTGCTGCAGTCCCCCATACTGTATTTTTTGCTGCTTTTGCTGCTACAGCTTCCTCTACCGCAGCTCCAGCGCAAAGAACATCACAGTCTCTCCGACACTAACGTCCTTTGTTTCGAAATCCTGCCCAATCTGCACCCCTTTCATCTTTTTCTGTGCTTGGCCGCAGACAGCTGCATTCCTCCTTGGCATGCCCATCTCCTCCACGATCTCGCTTGCCAACAGACTCTCCGGTTTCCATTGTTCCCATTGTTCCACCTTCGTTGCCAGGGATATGTTCATCTTCTGTTTGCAACACCACCAGTCCCCTTATTGTGTATCATCGACGACATCCGCGGCATTGTCACTTGTCCGGGGATCAGCAGCCTGTTTCTTTGTCTGGCCCAATTCTCTATGTGCCTGCTCCACAGGTTGTTGTGGTTCCTTTGTTCCAAATGGCAATGTCCACTCCTATGCCTCCGGCAGACAGTCCAGCTGCCTGCAGACAGACACGGCACCATGTTTTATGCCCTTCAGCGTTAGATGTTCCATCTGTACAACAGGATGTTGTCCCTGCCCAGAGTACACTCGCGATTCCCGGGACAGTCCCTGCTCAGGATGCGGTTTGAAGGATTGGAACACGATCTGCCCGGATTGCAGTTAACCCCACAAGGCGTATACCACATGGGGGATCTGCAAATGGCTGACCAGCATCATTTGGACGAACGACAAATTTGTGCCTCTCCACGCGCAGACCACATGGGTGATCTGCAAATGACTGACTAGCAAACAACCCAAGACATTTTGGGCTTGCAATACCAGCTGGGTGATCTGCAAATCGTTGGCCAGCATTCGGCACACCAGCCTGAGATCCTCACCAATCTCTGTGGTCTGACTGCAACGAAGATCTGTCTTCACATTCTCCACCGCCCTTTTTAAACATCATCAGACTTCCTTGCTATCGCCCTTCAGCTTGATGCTGATCTCCCCCACGTACCGCCAGAGGATTGTAATTATAGCAGGGAAAGAGGCTTTACCATTGCTATTCTACAAGTAGCAATGAGGGACCGCCAACTTGTACGCAATGCTCGAGCAGGTGAGTGGTTTAATCCTCCATTCCACATCTCTGCTTGCATTGTGCACGTACCTGGCCATTACATGGCCATCGTACATGCCTCTGACCACTGGGAGTTGTGGAACAACCGCATCATGGTCCATGTCATGACTGATGTTGCTGATTTCTTACATAATGAAACTGTCCGCAATCTCTTTTATGTCGAAGATCATCATTCCTCTCGCCCCGTGCTCCAGCAGGACAATGTACCAACACTCTGCAACCATCTTCTTTGCATAACTCCAAACACTGTTACACTCGGCTGTAGCCGCCATCGTCTTTGTCACAATCACTACAATCAGATGGTTTCTGCGTCCATGTGTGTACAGGATTGTCCCTCCGTTCCTGACTGCAGGCACCCTCCTCATCCGGACACTATATGTCCAGTTTGCGGCCATGGGCGCTATACTGAATGCATGGTGTTCTGTGGTGAGAGTTCTTCCCTCATTTTGGCCTGCAATCGACATGCCATTTGTCGGGAGTGTATGTTGGGCATGCTCAATGCCAGCCGTCGTGGCAATTGTTGTGCTGCTCAGCTAGTTCTTCCATGTGCTCGCCCACCTCATCCTTACTTGTGTGTCCTCTCTGTCGTCAAGGACAGACTCACTCCTGAGCTTTTCTTATCCTCTCCTTTGCCTTCGTCTTCATTCCACACTCCATACTTGCCCTTACTTTCCCTTTTGGTTCTTTGTTTGTCTTCTCTTCATCTCTCTTCCCTGTGTTTATCACCTTCCTCTTTACTCTCCCTCTTTCTCACAGCGTACAAGTGGGTTGTTTTTTTAATCCTTGCCTTTTGTTTCGCAAAGTGCGAGAAATCTGAATTTGATCTTTAGTTCATAGTTATATGACAATATACAGCCCCTCGTTTGTTGTCCTCTTCTCCCTCTCTACCTACGGTTTACCGGGCAGCTCTGTTTGGCGATTGATACATATATATTGTCACATCACTACAAACTAAAAGAGCGCACTTTGCGGAACAAAGAATAAAAGCAAAAGACGGGCACAGTGATAACATGCAAAAATAAAAATAAAAAGAAAAACAAAAAGAAAAAACAAGGGCAGATTGAAACCATTAAATTTCTCATTCTTCTTTGAACTCCACCTCCACTGTGCCTCTCACGTGCAAGGCTCGCCACGTTGATGAAGTTCAGCGCG